GTAAAGTGCGTTACACTAGAGGTACACAAAGCAATGCACAAATGGAAAAACCAACCCCAAACAGACCCTAGGTAGGTCCAAGATAGTGGGAAATTGGTCTAAAACGAGGGCTCTGAATGCATTCAAATGAAGCCCATGCAATGGTTGGTAAATGAGGCAACAAGCCCGACTCTCTAATGCACTTAAAGAGTGGAAATCATGGGCATATGGCATGCATATAAGCTCTGAAATATGATGTGCAATGGCCCCAAAACATGAAAACACCTCAATATATGCATGCGATGGACCTCAAAACTCAAGGTTAAGCATGGATATTGAACTACAGGCATGCAAAACAAGCATCATTCGACCATGAGACCCAAAAACAGAGCTAAGGCAATCCAAAACATGCACAAAATCAGTTTAAGGTAAGGCCAAAATATGCTAGGAAAGGCGGCCAAAACATCATGCAAAACAAGCTAGTGAACCATGACTTATACTACAACTATATGAAGCATGTGAATGACTACCGAACCAGCCAAAAATAGAAACATGGCATGCCAAAATATGACCAAAAATCCACTGGAACTTAGTCAACACATGCTAGAATGAGGTGCTCCTTTGAAAGGTTATGCAAGGGGTTACTCTACATATGCAAGATAGACATCAAAAATGGAAAAACCACCTCTGGAAAGAGGTTATGAAGGCCATAAAACTCATCAAAAATGGCCTGAAAGGGGGCTAGGAAGTATGCAAGTGAAGGCCCCTTTAAAAGGCTATGAAGAGGGTTACTCTACACATGCAAGATGGACACTTAACATGGAAAACCCACCTCTGGACAGAGGTCATGCAGGTCATAAAACTCACAAATAATAGCCTGAGACATGGCTTGAAAACATGGAAATAGGGGCTCATTTGTTAGGCCAAGAAAGCTAGTAAACAAGACAAGGGGTGAGAGAGTCACCCCTCTCTGATTTTGGGGCTCAAAACAACATGTTAGCCACTGAAAATCTACTGGATTTCAGTGGCTAGAAGGCCAAACAAAGCTCACTTCAAAGGCCTAGATGCATGGCTCAAAACATGATGAAAACAAGCATGCAAGGGGGTAGATGACCCCCAACAAAAAAATGACCTTAAACAAACTTTAATAGGAGCTCAAAATAAGAATTTTTTCAGTTTAGGACAAAGCCAAAAAGTGCTTGCAAATAGAGCTAAGATATGGATCAAAATAAGGTCAAAAAGAGGAAAAGAAGTGTTACCCTTGTAGAGAAGACCTCCAGCAACTTCTGGACCAAAATAGCAAACCTTCAACCTCTAAAAACCAGCTCCAAGGTGCTTAGAGTGATGGTGGAGGCGTTAGGATAGGAGGTGGTGTGTAAGGGAGGGCAAGAACTTCACCTTTTCAAGCTAAAATGGAGAGAAACAAAGGGAGATATGGTGTATATGCTCAGCCAACTTCAGAACCCTTGCAAAGGAAGGGAGGTCCTTCCTTTATAGAGAATAGAGGCCAAAGCTTCTCTTGGAAGCTTAAAACCAAGATTAAACATCATCCATACATGTGTATGGAGGATGCAGCAAATGCCTCCCAGCTGGCACAGCTGGAACACACTCACTAAGACAAATCTGCAGAGAGCTGGCTGACCAGTTCAAGTGGTCGGCCGACCCCTATGATGAAGTCCTAGAAGTTAGCTTTCCAATGGCGCCAGCCTTGCATTAAAATTCCAACTGTGCAAAAAGGTATGCCTATTTTGGTAAAGCCGCGCAGATTCGGTCCAACCAGATTGATGCCCTACTTCAACCAACCATATCTCCCCCGTCCGGACTTGGCTTTAGGAGATTCTTGAGTGTAAAATGAATCCCCGGAAGTCTTCTTTCCAATGGTGGTGGCCTCATAGCTAAAATCCAAGTGTATAGACAGATAGGCGTGATTTAGCGAGGACCGCTCGGCTCTCTCTCTCTTAGCGATTCGTGTCCATTCCTCCCCCAACTGGGTTTTTTTCCCTCTTCTCTTCTTTTATTGAACTCCAAACCCCTAAACAAGGTGTTTTGAAAGATTTTTCAAAGATTTCATCTCTCTTTCATTCATTTCTACTTTGTCCTTGCTCAGTTTACCGAAAAGCGCGACATTTAACAAAATGCAAGCGTCGGAACATCGTAGAACTTTATTTTCAAAACATTTTGAAAGAGATGGTTTCAAGTCTAAAATATTTTGATCAAGATTGTTTTGGTCCGAAAAGAGGTATGAAGTTGAGATTTGACTCTCTCCTTTCCAAAGAAACTGAACATTTTCCCTGCACAACTTTCATCACCAAGCAAGCCATTAGCGACGCCCAAGTCTTAAGGGTGGTAAAAAATGAGGTGTCTACAAATATATATAATATAATATAAATAAATAAAACAAACATGTGGCATATGGGTCACTTTATGGATACTCTTACATGTATTACTACTTGCGTATTAGATTCAACCACCATTTTCTTCATTTGAAAATGGTAATTCAACTTTCTTTAATGGATGCTTAAGTTTTTTTTTTTAATCAACAAAAGTAGTTGTTAAATTAGCACGGGGGAGTTGAAGCTCACACCCATATACCTTACACGAAAATCTTACCCTCTCATTCCAATCCCTAGGAGTGGAACCCAAAACGTCCCCCTTAAAAGAGATTTGGTGGCCAATGGACTAACCAACTAAGTTAGAGCTCCTTGGTTAATGGATGTTTAAGTTTAGGTGTGTGTACATAGATTTGGATGCGTTTTGAATGGTGAATGTATGCCTTTTACTTGTTAGGGTATATTTGGAATAAATGTATGTGGAGTGAGTATATATTACATATTTATTATTTTTTAAGTGTTTGAACTGAAAAGAATGTGCACACAATGAAAATGAAAATAGTGTCTAGAAATAGAACTTATACTAGTAAGTACTATTTTTGTATCCTTAACACTAGTAAAGACTTATAATGGAGGAGTGGGAAAAAAAATTCCCTAAAAACATTATATATATATATATATTATAATTAGACACTTCATTTTTAGTAATTAAAATATAAAAAATACATTAGCCATTCAATTTATTAAAAAAATACCTAAGGACACTTTATTAGAAAATTAGTAATAGTTTAATTACTCGTTTCTTATTTGATTGAGTTCAAAAAAATAATAATAATAAAATCATAACTATGAAACTTAAACTTAATTTTAATTTATATAAAATAATGAAAGGGAAGAGAGGTGAAGGTTCTTTTAATAATTATATATGCATAGATATTCCACTGAAATGCAATAAATTTTTAATAATCCTCACGTTACAGCAGTTATCTCAATGTGAAGTCCAAATGCATGGACTGTGTGCTTCATGTCCCCATGTCATGGGTTGCAATGGGCTACAATGGGCTTCACCAGGTTCAGTATAGAGTATCCTACAGTGGTGGTCTGGATGTAGACTGAGGTAGCTAGAAAAGAAGTTGTGGAGTGTAATCCTATTTGCTATTTTCTGATCCATCTGGAAGTAGAGGAATGACTGTGTGTTTAATTGGGTGGAGCCTAATTTTGTAGTTCTGTCTGAAACCATTAAGATGCGAATTGCCTTGTGGGTTAAGTTCTCAGTTCCGGCTTTGAATTACTCTGTCCATGATCTGGTGCATAATCTGTACCAGGCTAGAAGGTGCTTGGCTTAGGAGTTTCAGCAGCTGCTTCCATCGGTGTATCAGCATTTGTTATTGCTTTGGTTCTCAGCATAGTCTTGATTGAAGGCAATATAGAAATGAAATTTTGGTGGCTTTATGCAGCACAACAGGTTATCAGTAACAAGTTAGTAGCACATCAAGTTCTGGTGTATAAAGCCGAGGAGTTGTCATTGATTGACTGCTTAGTGATTATCAGCTTCTGCTTAGTCTTGGTGACTATTTTGTGGTTTGCTCAGTATTATCTTGGTGATTATGGTGACTAATTTGTTGGTTGAACTAATTTGTTGTTAGTCTGCTGTTAGACTTGGTGCTCTTCTGCTGCTATACTGGTGGCTAAGAAGCTGGGCTACTGAATGGAGGGTTGATTGTTGTTTTGAATGTTTGGTTTATTTGAATAAAGATCATGGCAGTATTTGCACTGGTTTTTGGTATTTGCTGAGATTAATCCATTGGTTCCTCAATCGTATTTCTGGTTTTTTGTCCTACTGCTGTGCTAGCTTTTTCTTGCTGATGTTGCACTGGTTTTTCCTAAGTTTTGTAGGATTGGATTGCTTAGCAGTGGCTGCAACTTATGGGTGTTTTTGGTGGATTGCAACTGATGGATGTTTTTGGTGGACTGCAACTGATGTTAAGGACTGGTGTAGTTTTGGTGGACTGTTGTTGTGTAGTTTTGTTGGGCTGCTTGCTGGTTTTATTTTCTTTTGCTCTATTTGTTGGTCTCTCACCAGTTAGGAGGTTGGAGCTTGAACTAGCTCCAAGCTCCTCTTTATTAATGTAATTTTGCATACTTTGTATGTGTTTCATCAATAAAGTCCTTTTTTGCCATTGAAAAAAAAAATATATCCCCATGTCATGATCGTCACAAAAAACTAAGCCTTAGAGTAGTTGACACCAACTCACAAAAGAAAAAATTGAAAAATAAAAATAAAAATTAACAGAAGCTAAACAACAAAGACCCTACAAGATAAAAAGAAGAGTGCTTTAGGGATAAGTAGCATTTTTCTAAAAACAATACACTTGGAATCCTAGTGGTATGCACACATCTATTAACAACATTCCTAACAATAACCACCATTATGTTTCCATCAAGGAAGAGTCTTGTCACCATTTGACAGTAATAAAATCAACTCCTCTGGAGAAAATAAGTTTGGAAAATGAGTGAGAGCACTAATTAGTGCTATCACTAATGATGTGGCAGTGGGCCCAACCAGGAATGATTTGATATTTTGGCCTTGGTGTTGTATTTTTTTTCTTTTTTTATTGAGTGCCATGTCATTAGTGGTCTTTTTAGAGCTCTAAAATTAGTGGTCTCTATCATTGTTGAATAAGTTTTCATTGTAGAATGGTTCTGGAGAAAATAAGTTTTCATTGTAGAATGGTTCTTCAAGTGATTTTGTAGTTGTTGCACCTATTGATGATCCAAAAAACTCACTGCTGGTTAGGAATTAGGTCAGTGGGTAAATTCAATGGCATCTCAAGCCCATTCTTCTCCTTCCTCACCGAGCTCATCGGCAGCTGATCAGTACTACATCCAATATTACCAACATATGTATTCTGGGACTCGATCATATACGGTGGTGAGAACATTGAAGCTGCAAATTCATTAGAGGCATTATTTTCAATCAATGCAGGTTGTTGACTTATGACATTGGCAAGTATATCCTCATAGGCAGTATCCCAAGGCCTAAGTTGCTTACACCTTTTGTTTTGGTAATAAGCTTGTGGTCGTGGCTGTGGCTGTGGCTGTGGTTGTGGCTCGGGCTCAGGCTCGCGTTCTTCTTCTGCACGCGGTCGCTTGCCCTTTAACATCAATGGTGGTTGTGGTTGTTGAACATCTTCTTCATTAGAATCTCTTGTGGTTTGTTGGCTTTCTTTTCTGGTTTGTGCTTCTTTCTTCTCCTCTGCTGATTTTCTAAGGTAAATGCTACATAGAACCACATTATTAATCTGCACACAAATATATCAAACAATTAAGGGGTTGTTTGGGGTGTCCTAAATAAGTGCACTTTTTGTCTTTTTGGACTAAAAAATTGAGGAATAAAATATGGACGTTTTTGACTTTTTATGAAAAAAAGTGTAATAAAAAATTGTAAAAATTGATTTGTAGAGAAAAATTAGAATTAGGGAAAAATTAAGATTGAGAGTTGTGCAGCCGTAATTGTTGACTTTTGGTGAATAGTGTTAACTTTTTAACTTTTTGACTTTTTGCAATATGCCAAACTTGGCCAAAATCCGCATTATTATAACAATCAAATAAATAATCCAATAAAAAATTCAATTATTGCTCATCATCCATGCAAAAAATTAACGATTTATTCAATGATCATCCATATGTATTAAAATCAATTTCATCACATATAGATAGTCTTACAATTGAATCAAATGGCTCTTTAGAAAAGTTGAATCAAAATCATTTTTTTTTCAAACACAAATATGCTACCAATCTCATCTGTCCAACCAAATCTCTTTTTTTTACTAGACTCTCCAATCCGATTAGCGGACAGGAAAGGAGACAGGAGGAGCTTGGTCCTATAATTAGTATTTAGCAACATTCATGAAATAAAAATAAAAAATAAAAAAATAGAGTAAACTTGTACCTTATGATATTTTGTAGGATCAATCTGAGAGTCATCGAGTACATATTCATGCGTGATGTAATTGGTTTTGAAATCTTTCCCATTGTTATTTTTTATGAAGTAGACCAGAGTGTTCTTCTTGCCCAGCATGGCTCCATTAACATCTTTAAATTGAGTAGGCTTGCTTGTCATCTTCCAATGCCCTTGCCCTCCATTTGCACATCTATTGAGCTTCTTTCCATGCCCATGCTTCGATTGTCTTGGTGTAAAATAGAACGTCTTTTCTCCATATTTGAGCTCTTCCATGTACCACAAAAAAAAAAAAAAAAAAAAAAAAAAACAAAAACAAAAACAAAAATAATATGTCAACAATAACTACACAAAAAAATAAAATAATAAATTAAATCAATTAAACATAAAATACATGAAAAAAAAAAGTTTAGAAACATAGAAATCAAAATTGTAGACAACACTCCCGAATGTGATATAAGTGTGCCTAGTTTTATGATTGGTTTTTGGTGCCAACATTATAACAATAATGTGGCAATGATTGTTTGGTAAATAAAAGATATTTACATTTTGTGTAAAAAAATTTATGAATTCTTTGTTTATATATCATTGCACTTCAACTATATTTCATTTTTTTGATTAAAAAAAAATTAATTAACAAAAGTATCAAATTGAAATAAAAATAAAAATCAGATATTTCCCAACCAAAAAATAAAATAAAATACATATATCAAATCAATCAACAAGCATATAAAAAAATCAATAAACATATAAAAATGGAGAGTTGTGATAAGAGTCGACAAACATCACTAAAACTATGAAGACATGACCAAATTTTTTTAATTATCAACAATGATATATTCTCTAATTTATTACCTCTAAACCATCCCTATGATGTGGAATTAAAGTTAAACCCCACATAAATGAATGTTTTACAAATCAAAAAATTTGACACTTGTCAAACACATCATTATGAGTGGCTTTTAATAGTGATAAATTAAGTGTCTCGAGTATTTTCATTTATTTATTTTTTGATATCAAGTCTCCTTAAACCCATTATACCTCCCCTTCCTTTGCATAGGATCAAGTGATTGTCTTCTTAATTCAACTCTCCATAGAAAGAGTTAAACCTATGACCTCTTCTTAGGATTAAATCCTTAGGAAAATCATGATAGCCAATTAGATTAGATCTAGTTGGTTATGGAAACATATTCAAATAATTATTAGTAAATTAAAACAACATGTATAATAATAATAATAATAATTGCTTGTCAGTGGAAGCTTTATAAAATATTTACTGATAAATTTAAAAATATTAAAATATAAAATGATAATTTTCATTAATGTGTAATTAATTTTTAATTTTTATTAAAAAATTTATTTTCCCCTATAAAAAAATTAATACAAGATCTTGAGTCACCGAGACTGTGCATAGACAACTACGAGATTTCCATTCTCTATCGTATAGTTACGTAAATACAAATAAGACAAGATCATGTTTTGTATCCATAGTTTGGTAAAAGATTGTCTTTATTACTACTTCTTGATATATCTATGCATATATAATAAACAATATATATATATATATATTAGGGTTCTAACATCCAAATAAAGCATCCATGCAATAGATTATGGCCCACACATAAATACACAACCATACACAGACAAAAATTTAAAAATAAAAATTGATCATAGAACAAGAATTGATATATAAAAAATAGATGAGAAACAAGGGGAGAAAAAAACCTGGAAGATGAGAGGGTACATAGTTATAAACATCGATGTTGTAGATGAACCATGTCGAGACATTATCTCCACGGACCTTTGGAGCAAGATAATGATTGAAAGCTACGAAATCTGATAGAAGAAATCGAAACCCTAGTGGAACACCTTGTCTCATGTCGTCTTCTTCTACTTCTACTCTCTATTGAACGACACAAGTTGCTTTTCTTCATCCATGGTAAGTAAATTAAACCCACAAACTCAACCAATGAATGTGTGTGTAAAGTTTAACTTAGAGAATTATTTATAGGGTTTTGAGTTGAACTTTTTCACCAGATAATCTTTTGTTTTTTTCTTGTTTTTGCTTTTCTTTATTTATTTTTTCTTTTGAGTTTTATTGCAATAAAACTCTTATGACAGTGGGATTGGGTTTGTTTGTTTTTTTCTTGTTTTTGCGCTTTTTTTTTTTTTTTTGCAATAAAACTCTTCGTCTGAGTCTAAGTCCGGTATTCCTGGGGGTGACAACTCGAATGCCACAGTCCTTTTTTTTTTTTTTTTTTTTTTTTTTTTTTTTTTCTTTTGAGTTTTATTTGCAATAAAACCCTTATGACAGTGGGATTGGGTTTGTTTGTTTTTTTTCTTGTTTTTGCTCTTTTTTTTTTTTTTTTTTTTTTTTGAATTTGTGGGTTGTTTAGTTTTCTTTCTTTCTTTCTTTTGAGTTTTATTTGCAATAAAACCCTTATGACAGTGGGATTGGGTTTGTTTGTTTTTTTTTTTCTTGTTTTTTCTTCTTGTTTTTTTTTTTTTTTTTTTTTTTTTTTTTTCTTTTGAGTTTTATTTGCAATAAAACTCTTATGACAGTGGGATTGAGTTTGTTTGAATTACACGTTTTACTCAGGATTGGGTTTGTTTGAAATTAAAATCAAACTTTGATAATTGTAATTAGCCATGCAAATAAAATAAGATAAAATGAAGATTTGACCATACAATTATTTTGGGTCAATTACAGTTTTCACCTTATGGTTTAATTTAAATTTTACTTTAGTTCTATTATTTTAATTTGAGTAATTTGGTTCTATCCTTTAAATTTAATTTCAATTTGGTGTATGATGTTAACGTTTGCCTTGATTCATATCAATGAAGGCTTACTTTTGCCCATTAAAAAAAACAAAAAAAAAAAACAAAATGGCCATTATGTTCAAATTACTGTCATTTTTTTTTTTTTTTTTTTTTTTTGTATGTGTGTGTACAACTCCTGAGACTACCACATGTTTCAACATTGTTAATTTAACCATCACTTAAGTGTGGAAGGTAAACCATTCAAAATTAAAAGAAGATAGACTAAAATAAAATTTGAGTCAAATCTTATGGATTTAATGTATAATTTATCCTTCTTTTTTTTTTTCAAATTATTTTTGTATACATAGTAGTAGTAATCTTTTTTATTTTTTTTTTATATTAATTTTCTCTCAAGTTTAAATTTGGGTCAGTGAGACTTATTACGAGTCTTATTTCAATTATTCGAATCATTCATTTATAATTCCCTCTGTCTATATCATCTGTCGGAAAAAAAAAAAAAAAAAAATTGGATCAATTCAATGATGACAACTTTTTTATTTTATTGCATTTATTTTTAAAATACTGGATGATAAATGTGTTTCTAAAAATTGGTTATTCATTTTTTTTTTCTGTTGAATGTGTTTCTAAAAATTGGTTATTCATTTTTTTTTTCTGTTGAGACAAATGCGATAAAATAAATAAGAATAATACTATATGATTATTCAATTGACTTGAATTTTTTTTATAAATGATATACATCAAAACACACAATTTAAATTATCAAAATACCATTTACAGCAAGTTTCCTTTTCTTTTTCTTTTTTGTTTCTTTTCTTATTACCCGGAAGCACAGAAAAGGGGAGAGAGTTCTTGAAAATTATCAAGGTTTTGCACATTTGGGTTCAATTAGATTTTTCAATAATTTTTCAATTTTTTAATTACTGGATATTTTGCCATAGAAATTCGTAAGGATGGATACAAAAAACCCAATGACAAATGGAATGCAGAAAATAACAGGTTAGAATTTTATGGATTAGTCAGTTCAATGAGTCAAATATCGAATTATCCAAAAAAAAAAAAAAAAAAGGTCAGCAAATGAAAATTGTGATTTCTTTTTTAATCCCAAAATATATGAAATATAAATACATTTCTAAAAATTTTGATCTCAACCAAATTTAGAATGTTTAAGTTCAAGCTCAATTCGTGAAGTATTTGATAAATTCAAACTCAACTCAAGTAAACTAGATTACATAAACGAGCTGAGTTTGAACTCAAAAGGAAGAAGGAAAAAAAAAACAAAAAAACAAAAACAAAAACCAACTTGAGTTCCTTAGGGAAAATATAAAATTATGAGAAAAAAAAAATCTCAAATTAAAAATAAAATTTATCATTTAAATATGCAAATTTATATAAACACCAAACATAAATAGAGAATTAAGACCTTGGGATTTGGCCCAATGGTCTAGTAGCCACACCTTATTCCCGTTTGGTGTAGTTATTAAAATAAATTATAACCCAGTTTGATAGAGTTGTGAAAAAGTGATTATAAATTATAACTCAACAGATTATGACTTATAGCAGTGAATATAAGCTGTTAACCTGTTTGGTACAGCTGTGAGATTATAGATTTATGTAGTAGAGTAATATTTAGTTAATAAGGTGTAAAATAACTTTTTATTGTGTAATTATCCTTTTTGTCCTTATATGATATAAAAATGATTATTTTGTTATTTTTTTCAGTTTTAATTTTTTTAAAAAATAATTCATTAATAAAAGTTAATATAATTAGTATTACAAAAATTATCATTTCATTAATAGTATCAATTAGTATAAAATTATTTCATTATAAATTAATTAGTAGCAATCAATGACTTAATAAGTATCAATTAATATTAAAATTACTAATAGTATCAATTAGTATAAATATTTTTCATTTTTTCACTATAAATAATTAATGTCAATTAATGGCTTAATTAGCATCAATTGAAGCAAGCGGAGGAAGAGCTCCATTTGTTCGATCTGGTATCTGAGCAAAGGGAGCTTGAAGAGGCAGAAAAAGTAAGACGAAAAGAGTCGAAGCTTGCAGATTAAAGAGAATGATAGATTGGATGTGGCTTCAGAAATCTAGACTGAATTGGAATCTTAACAGTGATAAAAACACAAGATATTTCCATGTGATAGTTAAGTGTAGACACGGGAGAAATAAGATCAATTCTTTAACTGTTGGGGATGTGGTTTTTGATGATCCATGCAAAGTTAAGCAAGAAGTTCAAATTTATTTTCAAAAACAATTCACTGAGGAGTGGAAGGTTAGACCTATTTTGGAGGGAACATTCTAGTCTGTGAGGGACAGCCCATTTTTTGATTTGTTGGAAGCAGAATTTTCTGAGGAAGAGATAAGGTGTGCTGGTAAGGATTGTGATGGTAATAAGGCTCCAGGCCCTGGTGGGTTTAACTTGGCTTGTATCCAAAAGTTGTGGAAGGTAATGAAGACCGATGTGCTCAATTTCATGGCTGAATTTCATAAAAATAGTAAGCTAGTCAAAGGGATCAATAGTTCCTCTATCACTTTGGTCCCTAAGAAGGAGAACCCTGTGGGCTTAGCTGACTACAGACCAATTAGTTTGGTTGGATCATTATATAAGATTCTTGCTAAGGTTCTATCATCCAGGTTAAAGACAGTGTTACCTCAAATTATTAGTGAAAATCAATCTGCTTTTATTGGTGGAAGAAACATACTAGATGGAGTGTTGGTGGCAAATGAGGTTGTGGGTAGTTGGAAGAAATCTAGGGAAAGAGGTTTAATCATAAAGCTAGAGATTTTGAGAAAGCATATGATTCATTGAATTGAGATTTTTTGTTCTCAATGATGATTAATTTTGAGTTTGGAGGAAAGTGGGTGAAATGGATAAAGGAGTGCATTACCTCTTCTAGGTTATCTGTGCTTGTTAATGGAGCCCCGACTGCTGAATTTAGTCCACAAAGGGGGCTCAGACAAGGGGACTCCCTGCCCCCTTTTTTGTTTAACATAGCAGCTGAGGGTTTAAGCATATTAATGTCAAGAGCTTTGCATATGAAGTTGATAAAAGGGGTAAAGATTGGCTCAGGTGGGGTAGTTCTTACTCATCTTCAGTTCGCAGATGATTCTTTATTATTGTGTGAAGCTGATATGTTGGAAGTTAGTAAGTTAAGGAGGATACTGAGGTGTTTTGAGATGCTGTCAGGTTTGAGGATAAACTACCACAAAAGTGTAGTTAGTGGAGTGGGAGTCCCAGTTGAAGACATGAGTGAGTTTGTATCCGTGCTAAATTGTAAAGTGAAAAGTCTTCCGTTTCAATACCTAGGCATGCCATTGGGTGCTAACCCAAGTAGAAAAGCTACTTGGAGACCTGTCCTGGACAGAGTCAGAAGCAAACTGGCAGGATAGAAAAGGAAATTATTTTTATTTGTAGGGAGGCTCACTTTAATAAAATCTGTTCTTTCTTCTTTGCCTATTTACTATTTGTCGCTGTATAAATTGCCACAAGGGATTGGTAGAGAGCTGGACAAGATTCAGGCCTCCTTTCTGTGGGGAGGATCTGAATTGAGAAAAAAGATTCACCTAGTAAAGTGGATGGAAGTTCCCAAACCTGTTGAGCAAGGGGGTTTGGGGGTTAGGAGAATTAAAGAGGTTAATGATTGCCTTTTATTGAAATTGTGGTGGAGGTTTGGTATTGAGAGCAATGCTCTGTGGAGAGGAGTCATTTGTAGTAAGCATAGGATAGAGGAGGGGAATTGGATGTCTTCCATTAGCCTAAACAATAGGTGTTCTAAAATTTGGAAGGATATAGTATCAGGCACTGAATAGAGCAGCAGACAGTTGGAGTTTTTTTTGGAAAATTGTAAGGTGAAAGTGGGTAATGGCCATAGAGTGAAGTTCTGGTTTGATAAATGGTGCAATAATTTATGTCTCAAAGATGAATTCCCGCTCTTGTTTAGATTGGTAGTAAATAAGGGCGAGTCTTTATATGCAATGGTGGAAAGAAATAAGGTTTCTGGTGAATGGAGGTTCCAGTTTAGAAGGGAATTATATGATTGGGAAAGTCTGGAGGCAACCAGAATGGTAATCCAGCTAGAGGAAGGTCCTGCTATTAGGCAATCCATAGTTGATACACTAACTTGGAATGCTTCTAAAACAGGGAAATTTACAGTTGCAT